TGATCATATACTGGGATAGATTAGTTTCTTTGACAAGGGTAGTTTGATTAACTAGGTTTTTTTTTAAATGAAATCATTCAATCAAGGTTGAGTTACTATGATAATAAATCAACATACTATGCATTGAGAGTAATGGAAAATGAACCACTTGGCAATGACGCCTTCGAGCTGGCATTGCTGCAGGCAGCCTTAAATTGGTCGGCAAATTGGCTCCTTAGATCGTCCTAAGGGCTGATTGCGTCTCTGTGTCTCTGCCAGTGATCCTATTATTTTTGCAGTTTACAGTGACCATAGCAATGAACTTGGCTTTGCCTCGAGTTCCTTCACAAAAAAGTTCCTTCATAGTCAGAGACAGCCGTTCCCACAAATATTGCATCCCTCTGGAGAGATGGTCATGGGGCCAACTTTTGCTCCTAATGTAGGGGGCAAAGAGAGAAGAGAAGAGAGAGGCTCTTTGAGTCACATATTCTATATTTCATAGATGAGGGAAACTTTGATAGCATTATAGAACAGACAGAATCCATCAGTACAATGCAATGCTAATATAGGCACAGGGACTTGCATTTGCTGGCAAATTAATGCTGGTCGGGTGACCGAGTAGAAGCCATTTTCCTTCTTCTCGCAGTGAAGAATGTACAGATACCCAGCTGAGTACTGATGTGTCTTCCTTCTCCTAAGGTACTTGGTAGGGATGCCAAGGGCCCACTGAGGCTGCTCACTCACATGCACCTCCCAGTAGTATCTGCCAGAGCTGAAGATCTGCTGATCAAGGACAAAATAATAAGATTTTTCAGCACTGTTAACCTGCTTTGGACAGTCATGTCCATGCCTGACGCTCTTCAGATCATCAGATACAATGACATAGGGACTGCTGTTGCAAGATCCATCGTGATATTTGCTCTGGATTTCTTTAGCACATCCTTCATCCCAGTGACAGAAGATTCTCTTTAACTCTGGGGTGAAAGACTTGGGCCTTTCAGACAGCAGGGGATCACCTGTTTGCAACAACTCTTTGCCTTCCTGAAGTAGTTCCAAATCAGGTCTGCATCCTGCTTCATCCATCTCTCAGATGGCATCTTCTGTGCTTTTAAAATGCTGGTGCATTCTGTTATAGTAGTTGTCTATTAGCTGGAAAGCTGCTGGTTCATCACTTGTCACCACATCTAGGCATCTGAACTCTTCTTCATACAGTAATCAATACATTCTCACATATTCTCCTCCAATCAGCTTTCTCTGCTTATCTTGTCTATCCTTCTTGGAAACATTAAGTTCCTTCAATTACTTGGTGTTCTTTCTCAAATGAGGTACACTGTCCTGGAATTACATTGTTCCAGAGTTACACTGTCCTGGAGTTTCTTCCTATGGTTCTGAACAACCTCTTCAATATTGGAGAAAGAGGGTGGGCCATGCACCTGAGCTTTATCCAGTCATTTTCCAGTCCTATCTGACTCTTCATGACCCATTTTGGGTTTTCTTGGCAAAGATACCGGAGTGGTTTGTCATCTCCTTTTCCAACTCATTTTATTTCCAACTCCAAACTGAGGCAAACAAGGTTTAATGACGCAGCTAGTAAGTGTCTGAGGCTAGATTTAAATCCGGGGAGATGAGCCAAGCCCAGTGCTCTGTACATGATGCTACCTAGCTCTCCTTAGTACAATCTATACAAAGGGAGGCCTGATCATCCTTATAGATCTTGGGGACTTTCCGGGGCTTTTGACAGCAGTTTTGACAGCGTTCTGCAAGTTCTGGGAGTTGAACTTCTTGCAGATGGCAGCCGGCTTTCATAGGTGTACGATGTGTCAGGGAAGTTCTAGAAGGCTCCCCTGCATTCAGGGCAAGAGAAATGTGTGTCCCCAGCCACCGGTGAGGGTGATAGGCTTTGAGGAAAATGTCAGACAAAGACTGCAGGAGGTATCCTGTTGGAGACTTTGGACCAGCATGACAGCATCCATGCTCTTTTCTTGAGGATTTTCTTTAGCCTGGGTCCCATTGACTTAAAGCCAAGTTCTCTCCTCAGAGACCTCAGACCTATTCTGTCTCCTTAGAGCCTAGGCTCCTTCCTCTGAAGATTTCAAAGAACTTCTGTGGCTCCTGGTTTGCTCCAACACCTCAAATCCAGAAAGTTATCTTGAAAAATCAGGGCCTTCAGTGACTGAGTCAATGAGCATTTATTAAGTGCTTCCTATGTGCTGTCCTAAAGGCTGAGGACACATACACAAACAAAAAGACAATCCATGCCCTTCAAAAAAAGTTCCTTCATTGTCAGAGACAGCCATTCCCACAAATAGTATATTCCTCTGGACAGACGGTCACGGCACCAACTTTTGTTCCTGCTGTAGGGGAACAAAGTGAGAAGAGAGGAGAGAGGCTCTTTAAGTGACATATCTTATATTCCGTAGACGAGGGAGACTTTGATAGAGTTATAGAACAATCCATACCCTCAAAGAACTTATATTCTAGAGGGGAGGAGCATAACAAATAAAACTAAGCTGAAAATGGCAGGAGGGCATACACGTGGGAGTATGGTAGAGAAAGTCCAGAGAGTCAGCTGCAGAGGAAGAAAGACACCATCTGCCTGGGTGTTTTCCGTAAAATGGAGTGCTAAGAGGAGCTGATCAGAGGAAGGGGCTGAGGGGACCTAGTATACTTCAGTATAAGAAGTCCAGGGGTGGAGTGATCCTTCAGAATGAGGAGGCATCAGAAATGTGGTAGAAAAAGTTCAGAGAGGTGCCTGGAGACAGAGCATGGGATGGAACAGTTTGGATGGAGTTGGACTGGAGGGAAGTGGGGACGGAACAATCATAGGCATGGGTACAAGGCGTGGCTATGGCTGGAGCCCTTGCAGTCTGCGGAGCAGTTCAAAGCCATGGGGGTCATCAAAGTAATTTTGCTTTTTTCTCAGTATTGCCAAGTGCCACCTACAATGACTTGAAGAGTTCAGAGTTGCCTTTTCTAGGACTTCTTTCTTAGTTCCACAATGCAGTCTACACAAAGGTCCAACATTTCCCCAACTTTGTTGGGAATTCTTGATCCCTGCTTTGAGAGGCGGTGTTGGGCATTCACTTAGAACTATAGAGTTACCTCTGCTACTTATTTCAATCTGAGGCATACCCTCTAAAAAGGGTGGTGGTTAATTAAACAATTAAAATTAAACAATTAATGCTTAAGCATATTTTCACTGTACCTATGATTTCTTTTCTAAATAATGGATAGATTTTTTTTAGATGTTCTAGTATTTTTTTGTGGCATCTAGATGGCCCAGTGGACACAGCATGGGGTTGGCAACCAGGGAGACCCCTCTTCTTGAGTTCAAATCCATTCTTAGACACTTACCAACAATGTGACCCTGGATAAGTCACTTAACCCTGTTTACCTCAGTTTCTTAATCCTGAAAATGAATTGGAGAAGGAAATGGCAAACCAGTACAGTATCTTTGCCAAGAAAACCCCAAACAGGGTCATGAAGAATCAGATATGACAGAACAACAACAAACTTACTTTTTTTTCCCCCGACAGAAAAGGGCAGAGCATCCTAGAAGCCAAAATTTCTCATGCATTGTAAGGGTGGCCTGATTTTCCTAGCAATCATAATAATCTACATTAGTCATCATGGTGTTTTAACATTTAGAAATTTTTAAAAGTTTATTACTACATATATGCAACACAACTAGCCATATTCTTTCTTGCTTATGATATGCAAGCAGCACTTTTCACCGTATCCTGGAATAGCATAATTTTAAATGAACATCTTTCTTTCCAAAGAAAGGGCCTTAAAGAACAAACTGCTATGCAGAATGAATAAATTAATGAAGCATAATTTATCAAGTACCTCCTATATATCAAGTATATATACATATATCTAGCATATATGTATATATATATATATATATATATATATATATATACATCAAGAACATATACATATATCAATATATGTCAAGTATTATGCTAAGCACCAGGGATACAAATGCAGAAATTAAGATAAATACCTGCCTTCAAAGAAATTATATTCTAGTAGTGGAGATAGTACATGGTGGGGAGTGAAAGGATGTGGTTTGTAAAGTTATAGGAGTAATAAGTGGAATCATAGGGCAGTACATTGACACACTAATTCCAGAAGCAATGAGAGTTGATTTAATTATGATTCCAGAATGGGAGGGATGGAGGGGAGTAGGGAGACAGTGGCACATGGTGAGGAAATGACTGGAGAATGCAGTGTGGAAATAGGTCCAAATGTAGTGGGTGACTGAGACAACCACCAATCTAGGTAGTGTGGGCTCCAGGGTGTGAGTTCCAGGCATAAAAGGGTTAAGTCCTGCAGGGGCTGATTTCTGGTCTGACTGGCATGGCAGCTGGTTAGGAGATACATGAGAAGAGTCAGAAGAGTCAGAAGCCAGATCCAGCAAGCATTGCTGGCTCTGACAGCAACAAACCATGCAAGCCTGGAAAACTCAGTTACATTTTCTGAAAAAAGGGCCTACTTTGACATGCCTGACCTTTTCTGTGTCTCATTTTGAAGAGAGCATTTAGTAAATCCTAGCACATTAGAAACCATCTTTATTCAAATTTTCGGTAAAATCCTCAGAAAACATACAAATTATCTTCTATTTGAATATAAAGGCACAGTATACTTCATATGTTTTTATTTTTTAAAGATGACCTCTTGGGATAAGTTTTAATTATTTTTCAACAGTTTCAAATGATGTTCATCCATTCAATGGCAACAGATCTAGAGAAATGTTCCTTGCAGCACGTCTGGTGGACTCCTGGAGGTGGATTTATGGGACAGTCGTTGCAATTAGTATTTATGGGTTGCAGTTGAAAGGAATACCCACATTAATGAGATTTCAGATCTATGGTAACATTTAAGTTTCAAATAATGAGACCGGCTAATGAAGAGTTGTGCCAGGGAAGAAATATAAAACAACTACAATAGAAAAGAAAACAGTAAAAATGAAATTTAAGTGGAGTGTCATCACCAATTTTTATTTTGTTTTCTAGATCAGGAAGTGTCCTGCACCACTGGAATGAAATCTACTATTTTGTGGAACATCTGGCCCATAAATTCATAAGGTGAGAGAGACATTCCTGCTTGCTTTATCTTATAATTATAAACGAGTTATTAGCTTCTGACATCATGTTCTCTGGAGAAATCAAGCTTGGGTAATAAATTCAGATGCTTTTCTTTTCTTCTCCTTTGTTTGGATTTCAGTTCCAGTAAGGTCCATTAATTTAAAACAAAACCAACTTTGAATTTTTTTTTTTTGGGGGGGTATCATCACTGAACAATTTTGTCAGCTCAAAGAGGACTTCCCTTAAGACTGATATTTCTGAGATTTTCAAGGGATTGCTTCAGTTAATACCCACTTCATCTAGGCAAGGTAACATGCCACTTTAGAAAAAGCGTCACAGTAAATTAATTTGCAGGGAGTGAGGGGTGAATTATAAAGTGTTGCATGTCACTCTGCCCCCAAGGCTAGTCATGGATATTTTCATAAAGATGGATTGTGAAAAGAGAGCCATGTTTAGTATCAGAATTTGGGTCTGAGACTAATTTAAATTGCTTAAGAAGCAATTAGTTATGACATAGTCTTCTGAATTTCAGCCCCTAGTGGCCACTGATATGCCATTCTTTTCCTTTGAACCAAAATAATAGATTTCTTTTTATGTCCAGTGATTTCAATTTAATTTGGCCGGTGTTTTCTTAATTATGGCCCTATATCCAACTAGGAGTATGAGGAGTCAGAGCAAATCCTACCAGTCTGAGGTGTTTTGTTTTGTTTTCTGGCTTAAGAGGAAAAGGAGAAAGCTCACTCCTGATTAGAGAAGTGGATGAATTAGAGTGAAAAGGATGCAGAAAGTAGAAAGAAGATAAAAATGCTGGGAAATGAAAACAAAATGCCTATAGTTTGGGAAAAATATTTGTCTAGTTAAATAATAGGAATGATTAAATCATCATTTCAGAACTGACAAGAAATTTAGATATTACCTAATCCAAGGTCTTACAAGCCTTCTTAGGCCTCTACGCTGAGGATTAGAAAGATTAAGTGATTGGCCCAAGGTTATACAGACAGTAAGTAAAGAAGCTGGAACCCAAAGTTATGTCTTCTGACTCTAAACCTAGAGTTCTTTCCACCACATGATATTGCCTCTCAAGCAAATTGAATTGCTTTTCAATTAGTATTGAATCCCAGAATCTTACAGAATTGAATTAGTGTTGAATTCCAGAATCTTACAGGAATGAGGTTGAAGCATTTTGATGATATAATACAATTAAAGGTCCAGAAAAAGAACGCTTCTAGAACACATAAGACCTAATCGGAATAATGTGTTGAACTTAAAGACAAAAGGTAGTTCATAGAAGGAGACAATTTAAGAGGTTAGACCAAGAAAGTGGAAGAATGAGGAAGAGGATAGTCAACATATAGGTGAAGTAACACTAGGAGGAAGGATGTTCTGACAAGATGGCCGCATGTTAGCCGCACTGCTTCTTCATTTCACTGTTACCACCTCAATAAGCCTGGACACTTGGGGGTCATCTTCCAACTTTCTCCTTAATGCAGGAATCCTTTCTAAAACAGCTCTGAGGAGTGGCCAGCCATCGTCATGGGAAAATGATTTTTTCTCTTATTGAAGTGGATGCTTTTGGGTTATGTTTTCATATTAGTAGCAGGTATCCAGAAACCAAGATCAGCCTGGACATTTTGTTTTCTCCTTGCTCAGCAATGTTTAGCTATTTTAGCTGCCACTGGTCAAACATTAGTCCTAACCTGAGTCAAGAACTTTACAGTTATTTTTGTTTGTTGGGAGTTGTCTGGGCACAAGGGGATAAAGACTTGGGCAAAGAATAAGAAAAGAATGTGAGTGCTTTCAGCCTTTTCTAATATACTTTTCTTCCCTTTCCAGCCCTCAACTGAGGATGTCATTTATAGTGTTCTCAACTAGAGGGTCAACTCTAATGAGGCTAACTGAAGACAGGTGAGAACTTTCCCCATTTTCAAAGCCCATCTCTTCCAGGGCAGGCTTTGAGGTTTGACCCATTAAGAATTGCAATTTGATTACTGCATTTTGATTTAGACTAAGAGAGTGAAGTTTCTGTTTTAATTTGACCCCTACAATTTTCATTTTTTTCCTCTCTATTGGTTTATTCCTACTCATCCTTTTAAATATAAAAACATATGCCAATGCTTCCATGAAGCCTTCTCTGATGAACTTCCTCGACAAATTCAGCCCTCCTCAACCTCTCACCCAACATTCTCCATCATTCTAATCACTTACATAATGTTTTGCATTATAGTTAACTATGTCTTATCCCCTTACTAGACTTGAAGCTCCATGAGGGCAAAGTCAGTTCCATATCTAAACTTTGAATAGCCCTTAGCATCAGTCAAGAACAGTCTTCTACAAAGAATAGGCACACAACCAATGTTTAAATCAATCAATTTTTGCTAGACACTACTGATTTTCATTAAATTTGGGTCCTTACTAAGAGATGGTATCCCTCAGTTGGGTTTATAATTTGGTCTGTCAGTGAAAAAAAAAAGATGGCAGAAAATAAAATGTCTTTAAATGGCTGCATTTTGCTTTATGGAGAGAAATGCTATTTTTATAAGTAGTAAATGATAAATGAAGGATGTTGCCCAGATTATGACATTTAGTTGGTGAGTTACCCATTGTCATAGTCCATCACTACATATACCTGTTACAGGCAAGTGAAGACGAACAAAGATCTGAGTTCAAAATAAGTAGGAGAAAAAGAGGGGGTTGGATTACATATGGATATAAATGTAGCACTTTCAGTGATGCCAAATAGTTCCCTGCTACCAGAAAAGGCAGCTTTTTAAAATCAGTTATAGTCTCCCAGTTTGAAGATCACAAAGTCATAGGACAATATTACCGCATATTACAAATGAGAACATGAACAGTATTTATATGGAACAGTCCAAAGCCCTTTGAATGATTCAGAGTAATTTTCCCTAAAGTCCCACTCTGATATCTCATCATCGCATGGAGATGACCCTGAGTTGTGATGTCTGTGCAGGTGGAATTAAAGTTTTGACAGGTCCTACTCAGATGTAAAAACTTGAAGTATGAGTTTAGTGATGGAATGAATCTATTATCCCAGAACCATTCTAGCCAAGTACAGAGAGAATCATCACCAGGTTTGTCACAAGTGATGAAATTTTCATTACAGCAACTAACAAAATTATCAGTTAAGGCATGCAGGGGTGATAATCTGCATCTGTGGGAGGAATATAATTATATCACGCTGATGAAATCATGTGTCCTTGAAGTATTATTGGAATATCTTGTGTTAGACAATCTCCGAGGCCTTTTTATGTGTCCAAAAAGTCAACTTCAAAAGTGCAAGATGGGGAGGGGAAGCATAATTAAGTAAGAATTCATGTAAAAAATACTTAGTAGACCAATAGCTCTATGTAAGTCAACAGTATTCCCTGGCAGCCAAAAAGCAAAGTTAATGCAATCTTAACATACATTAAAACATTTACCCACCAAAACCAGGGAAACGACAGTCCTGCCTTACTCTGCCCTTGTCTGATGACAACTAATATAATTTATTCAGTACTGGGTGCCAGATAAAGATAGCTAAATGAGGATTAGGATCAGGATCAGAAGATGGTCATCCAGGAGAAAATAAAGACTTAGAGGCACATGCCAACCATACTGAATTATATGAAAGGTTATCACATGGACCAAGAATAAAACTTCTCCTGCTTGACCACAGAAGTTAGAATTAAGAGCCATGGGTGGGAGTTAGAGAAAGAAGGATTTCAGCCAAAGGTAAGGATAGCTTATCTAATAATTAGAGTTATCCCCCAAAACCAGTGAACAGTCTTAGGAGGTAATGAGTTCCCCATTCCTAGAGGTTTTATTGCGAAGACTAAGTGACTACTTCTCAGGGATGTTCAGATAAGGGTTGGATCAGATGGACTCTGAGATCTCCTCCAAGGCTGAGGTTTTGGGATTCTTTAATCTTCACAATAATACTATTGGGTAGAAGAAAGCAAGTATTACTTCCATATGATAAGTGAGAGTACTAAGGTAAGATCACATGGAAACTGAGGCCTTCTCATTTTAGTACTTTCCCACTATACTCTTCTTCCAGACCACATTGCTAAGAATCTGGACCTTCTGACTCTTAGTTGAGGGTTTTATTTTTTCCTCTTACATTTGTTGTTGTTTGTCCTTCATTCTCAAAAAGGACCACCACATCAGGGAGGTGATGCCATGACTTACAAGTGAATTTGATTTGAATGAGGGAGGGCTGGGCAAGGTCACCAGCCTCACTTTATCCTCCAGAGCAATCTGAGTCCAGTGGCAAGATATAGATCAGGACAGCTGGAGATGGCCCCCTCCTACAATTAGAAGCTTTCTGTAGAATAGGGAATAATCAAAAGAAATGCATACCGTAAGACTTCATTATATCAATGTCTCTCCAATACTTTGAGCAAGATATTCCATCTATACACAGCTCTGCAGGTCTCATTTGATTTCTGTTTCTGCATGAATGCCTATTCTGTGGGAATCCTGGGGGTTGAATGCTGAAGAGTATTCCCTCATCCCCTGCCCCCTGGTCCAACCCTCAACCAAGCTTTTCAACTAGTTGCTTCTAGTTCATTCTACTCTATCCACACACAGCAGGAGTTGGCAAAACAAAAAAAACACATTAATCACCAACAAGTATTTTAAAATGTTAGACATGTAGGATCCCTGAGAGGATAAGAGTTACAAAGTCCATCCACAGGTCAGACGTTGAGATTCCTGACCCATTTGAGTTTGCCAAGCTAGTAGAATTGTTGTCCTTGGAAACCACTTAGAATGGTTCACCATGCCTTTACTTTACTATTCCCAGGCTCTTTACTCTGTTTTGCTGATTGATTCTGGACTGGATAATAGTCCAATGACATCCAGAAATTATTTGCCAAAGTCCACAGGGGTTTCAGAATCAAGCAACTGACTATCCTGGCAAATGAAATGGAGACAGGTTTATAAAGGCTGTTGAGAGAAGTATTCTAAAATTTTACCAATCCATTAATAAGCTTTATACAGGGGCTCTCCTACTAGAAAGTGTTTCTTAGATGGGCTTACTATGAGAAACAGGTGGGACTTTTAATAATAACTCACTTTACATAATAATTATAATAGGTTCTAATAATCAGGCTTTAATCTTTTCGAAGTACTTACTGCAGTATGACCCTATGAAGTAGATGGTACAAATAGTATTACCATTTCATAGCTAGAACCAAAGATGAGAGAAGTGAAATAATTTGCCCACTGTTATAAAGTTAGTAGGGAATATAGCTGGGACTTGAACCCAGGCCCTCTGAGTCTAAATCCTCTAAGAGTTCTGCTATATCACATCTTTAAGCTTTTCCAAAGTAGAGATGCAAGGATACAATTTTACCTCCCACTGGAAGGAAGAAAGAAAACGAGCATTTATTAAGCACCTACTATGTTCCAAACACTGTGGTTTATATATATTATCTCATTTGATCCTCATGATAACCCTGGGATGTATTATCCCCATTTTGTTTGCAGTTGAAGAAACTGAGGCAGATATATATTAAATGACTTGGCCAGGATCACACAGCTAGTAAGTGTTTGAGGCCAAATTTAAACCTAGCTGCCTCACATCTATTAGTATAATGCTTTTCTCAAAGTGCCTTCACATCCATTATTTCTTTTGATCCTCATTGCAGTTGTAAACTAGGTAGAGTATCAACTCTACATATCTTCATTTTGAATACAGTGAAACAGGCTTAAAGAACACATATACTGTTGTTGTTGTTTGTCCTTCATTCTCAAAGAGGATCACGACAACAAGGAGGTGATACCATGACTTACAAGTGAATTACATTTAAGTAAGAGAGGGCTGTGCAAAATCACCAGCCTCACTTTCTCCTCCAGAGCCATCAGATCCCAGGCCATACTCTGCCTCATTTCTTTCTTTCTTTCTTTCTTTCTTTCTTTCTTTCTTTCTTTCTTTCTTTCTTTCTTTCTTTCTTTCTTTCTTTCTTTCTTTCTCTTTTTTAGCTAGGTTAAGTGACTTGCCCAGGGTCACATAGCTAGTAAGAGTTATGTGTCTGAGGTCGGATTTGAACTCAGGTCCTCCTGAATCCAGGGCTGGTGCTCTATCGATTACGCCACCTAGCTGCCCCTAGCTGCCTCATTTCTTACGTAGCCTTAATCATTGAATGGGCATTGCCTCAGTCAAACTGAGACCTGTTAAAGACCTTAGCTTAAAAAGGCCAAGGTCTCACACTGCATCCAGGGCCATCTCCAGTTATCCTAACACACACACACACACACACACACACACACACACACACACACGTGTGTGTTTGTATATGCATATAATACAATATTATTTATTATATATTATATACATAATATGTAATATATAATAATGTAATATAATAGATATAGTATATGTATATATCATTATATATTATAAAATAAATACCTGAAGCTGATGAATTCTAATTTTATTTTTTCTCCTGTCTTTTATATTTGAGAGGTTAAAAGGCAAGGAATTATGTTACAAACAAGTAAATCCAAGGGAAGGAGAAGCAGTAATCCATCTCCTAGGATTATTAAAAGTTTAATTACTGTTGTATAAACACAATCATCGAATTACTTTCTAGAGTATTAATATTCCCACTGAAAGCAATTCCACTGAATGCAATGTTTATTAAATCATTTCTTTTTAAATTGTTCTTCCTGTAGTGTTTTCTCTTAACTTTGTATGTTGAAGTTAATTGAGGCCATCTTTTTGTTTTCCTGAGTGCCTAGCAAAGTGCTCGGTCAGTAGAAGGCATTTTTATGCATGGTTGCTGAAGCTGAACTACTCCAAATGTTATTTTTTACAAATGGGGAAACAGAGACCCAGAATCAAGAAACAACATGCCCACAGTCCCATAGCTAGCTAATGGCTGAGCTAGATTAGAACCCTGATA